GACAGAAGCTGCGATTGTCATTCGTATCTTTCAGTGAAGCACGGTTCTGTGATCAGCAGTAAATCTCCATCCGAAGGCCAGAGGGCGCTCTCGCGCTGAAACTCCAAATACGCCTCGCAGAAGAAACCCAGAAAATGCCTATCGCTGCAGCTGAATAAACAGAAGATTCAGCTGCTTTCATTGATTCAACGTGACTAATAAACACACGACTACGGCAATATACGGTTTATCTGAGTTCTTATTATAATTTTCATTAAAATGAAGTATATTTATAATGCAATGCCTTTATCACTGCTTACATACTATGAAATATGTTGCGTGCCTTATTCTGTGTAAGAAGCCACATCATCTCATAGAAGGATTTATTTTCAAACACTCGACTGACGTTATGAAGTGAGTTTGGAGTAAAAATATGTTATTAAATGTGGTATTTTCACATGCTTTCAGATGGAGCAGCATTTACTTCACAGAGCCGTAGTTCACTGAGAAGTTATGCATACAGCTGTCATTATCGCGAACGATTTCTTCGATTTCATAATCGCGCAATAAAATCGTCTGCGATTTTTTATTATTTTTTTTTGCGTAACTTGTCAGTGAACTACGGCTATGTGTAGTAAATTCTGCTCCATCTGAAAGCACGTGATGATGATTTCCTGCTGATTACAGAACCGGCTTTTTAAACAAAATGCGCATGACAATCGCATTCGATTAATCGTGCAGCCCTAGTCATAACCGACTGTATTTACGTGAGATCCTCCACACGATTGACATTTTGACAGCTGTGTGTGTATGTGACAATTAAGGCGCAAGGAGAACTGATCGCGGCCGAGAGAGCGCTGCTGTGTCTGTCATTCAGCGTGATTCTGCCTATCTATCCCACCTTCACTTACTCCAAGTTAATCGATAACGAAATGTGATTGGATGGTAATTTGGTTCTACCACAAGCTTACTTACCTTTGATTAGGCTGTTTTCGCGTGACAGAACACTTCTACTACTTCTACTACTAGAAATTTTGAAATACGGGACAAAACATGATTTTTTAAAAAGAAGTCGGGACACAAAAAAAAAAAGCTGAAATACGGGACTGTCCCGAGAAAAACGGGACGTCTGGTCACCCTAATTATAGCCATGATTTAATACTTGATATTAGTCAGAGGCAAGTGAATATTAGGGCAAAGGACATTCTCATTTTATAGAGCATTTTATTTCATCAGTTTGTTTGGTTTGTTTTTTCAGATAGGCTGTAATGCGACTTGTAGGAGTCCACTATGACATCAAAGCCAAAAATGCATGTACTAAAAGCTACAGATCTCCAATTTTGATTTCATGCCTACTTTAAACATCATATATAATCTAACTTGGGTCAGTTAAAGGGGTCATGAACTGCCTTTTTTATTTTGTATTGTTCTCTGAGGTCCACTTGTAATGCTATCAAGATTTTTACCTAGAAAAACATAATTTAGAAGTAATACGCTATTTCTGTTTTGACCCCCCTCCTCTGAACGCTCTGTTTGAATAGGCGTGGCAGATTGTAGCATATGTGAGTAAACGCCCACTGCTATAATTGGTTAACATTTGTGTATGTTTGATAGTCTATATCCTTCATAGATGGACGCTGCTGTGATTTAGGTTAAAAACACATAAATACTCAGTACATATTAGGGATGCACGATATTATCGGACCAATATCAGAATCGGCTAATAATGGCTTGAAATGTAAATATCGGCATTGGCCCAATATGAAAAAAAACATATGCCGATATCTCTTGCCACATATGCTCAGGGTGTGCTAGCGATTAGATCATGTCAGCAGTGTGACTCATTCTTGAAGCAAAGTTTTGCATGAATGATGATTAGATTCACTGTTTTGGATTGCTGCATTTAATCTGAGAATGCATGTACAGAATGACGCGTTTGGTGTGTGATAGACTAAACAGTAATAGCACTTGCAGTGGCAGCAGTGGCAGCCTCCCAAGGGTCCTAATGCCCACTCAGTAAGGTTTTAATTCCGTAGGGGGCGCTGTTGGCCTACTTCTAATAAAATGAAAGCAAAATACACATAATATTTAGACTGTGTTTCTGATTAAATAAAGCAGTAATTGATGTCATAAAATCATGAGTATGTTTTGATTTAAAGTTCAGAAGCTATAGCTTACATGAACAAAAAAAAAACACAAACATGTCACTTAAATTCAATAATTTTATATATACTGATTTATTCATTAATGTGTAATATGTTATTTTTTTAAACAAATTATGAGCTCTAAAAGATTTTCAGAATTTTTACAACTCTTGCTTTAGACCATTTACAAATGTTAAATCTTAAAATAAAATGTTAGTTACCACTGCATCTTTCTGAAAAAAATTGCAGTGTTTGAATATAGTTTATTTATAGTTATTTTCAAATCTTCAATGTACTGTCATTATAAAAGAACTTCATTGTTGTTTTTTAATTTAACAAATAAGTTCTTGTTAAAAACTAACCAAAATAAAAAATAATTTGCTTATAATTTCTGCACCGGAGAGACTTGGAGTTGTTTCCAAACAAAAGGAAATATATCGGTATCGGCATTGGCTATCGGCCAAAATGAGTTGAAAAATATCGGCATATCGGATATCGGCAAAAATCCAATATCGTGCATCCCTAGTACATATCAAACGATCTGTAATAACAGAGCAATAGTGACCACATAATAAAAACAGTTTCTCACACTTGTGTGGTGCGCCATTACTGTCGGATCCAATATAGTCAGCACAGCATCACCTTTTAGTTTCAATCTTTCTGAAAATCCTGCATCGAATTGTGCCTTGTTGTGAATGAATTCACGGTAAAATGAAGTGAACAAACGACCAAGTTCTTACTGACGTGGTCTGGAACTTCATTAAAAATAAAGCAATGCAGAGACTGTTTTTCCACAACTCGGCACTGCACAGCGTCTTGTTGTTTTTGGAGCATATTTATCATTTGGTTTCTCTGTAGACCTGCGTTTGCCTAGCATTATTTACACTACATGTGTGAATCGGTGGGCGGAGCTATACAGGCAGTGATGTAGAAGCGGAGGCGGTGATTAGTCACACTATTACGTCATAAAGTGGCACATTCCACAACCTGTTTTGGCAGATTGGCTTCAATATAAGCATTTTTTTTAACAGAATGTTTTTATAGTACAATGACCTCTTATATGTCAAAAAAACAAGGGAATTTTGATTTCTCAGTTCATGACCCCTTTAAAGTCAATAAGCAACTACTGGTAGTTTAAACCATATTATTTCTGTTGGAGGTGAAGTCATTTAAGATTTCCATTAGTCAACAACAGTGTTGAGTAGGTTCTGCGAAAGAGGCATGATCCTCACCTTTGAAACCATGGTTGTTGCTTATGAGTCATTGTTTTATTAATATGTTTCATACCAATACTAACACCTCCAAAACATTCAAATTAAAGTATATTAATCTCTGCATCTGTTTTTTTGTGTGTGTGTCTTTTTAGGTGAGCGTATATTGTCGTGTCCTGATGAGCCCTGCTACCTGTGGTTTGTTATGGAGTTTTGCGAGGGAGGGGATCTGAATCAGTTCATCCTGTCGCGACGGCCCGATCCCCGCACCAATGCCAGCTTCATGATGCAGCTGAGTAGCGCTGTGGCGTTCCTGCATGAAAACAATATTGTTCACAGAGACCTTAAACCAGATAATATCCTCATCTCGGAGCGTTCTGGCATGCCTGTGTTGAAAGTGGCAGATTTTGGACTGAGTAAAGTGTGTGCCGGTCTGGCTGCTGGAGTACGGGACTCAGAGGAGGGACGGGACAAAAACAAGAACAGTGTTAACATCAATAAGTTCTGGCTTTCATCGGCATGCGGCTCAGACTTTTACATGGCACCGGAGGTTTGGGAAGGACATTACACAGCCAAAGCAGACATTTTTGCTCTAGGCATTATCATCTGGGCCATGATAGAGAGAATCACTTTCATTGACGCCGACTCAAAACGGGAGCTTCTCGGGACGTATGTGCGGCAGGGTTCTGACATCGTCCCGGTTGGAGAGGCGCTTCTGGAGAACCCAAAGATGGTGTTGAGTATTCCCCAGCGCAGGCGCTCGCATATGCCTGAGGCACTCCGGAAACTTTTGCAGGACATGCTGGCAGTCAATCCTCAGGACCGACCAGATGCACTAGAACTGCACAGCAGGATGGGACAGGTCACTTGCGTAGCGTGAACTCTGACCTGAATGCACACACAGGTGAGCCTTTGCCAGGGAAGTTTCCATAAATGTACAGATATGGTTGTTTTTTTGTGTGAAGGCTCATGTTTTCAGTGACAGTAATAGCAGCCGGTAACAGATAACAGTGCAGAAATGCGGTGTATTTTTATGATATCTCTGAAAGACAAACACATTCACAGCTGTTAGAAAACTTGTATTTGTTTGTCCTACTGCTTGTAATTAATTTCTTCATTCTTATTACTGTTTACTTGTTTTCAATAAGCTTGAGGACTTTTTACTTAGGCCTACATTATTTTTTATAGTATTAGTTTTTGCTGTGATATTGAAATTGGTATCAAGAAAGCACTGCTTCTTGAAGTGTGCATGTTAATTTTTAGTGTTTTAAAGTTGTTGTTTTTAACACAGTAGTATAGATTTATAACATTGATTATTACCAGCTACATATCAGCCAGAATTTCAATATTGATGCATCCTTAAAATAGTCGTCATGTGTTTTTCCACACAGCCGTCCCAGGGGTTTACTTGTTTTCAATAAGCTTTTTACTTAGGCCTACATTATTTTTTATAGTATTCGTTTTTGCTGTGATATTGAAATTGGTATCAAGAAAGCACTGCTTCTTGAAGTGTGCATGTTAATTTTTAGTGTTTTAAAGTTGTTGTTTTTAACACAGTAGTATAGATTTATAACATTGATTATTACCAGCTACATATCAGCCAGAATTTCAATATTGATGCATCCTTAAAATAGTCGTCATGTGTTTTTCCACACAGCCGTCCCAGGGGTGTCGATTATTTTGATGAAGCTTATAAGTGGCGAGTGGAAAACAATATAACACGAGATTTAACATGAGGCTTTAAATCCAAGTGAAACCATGCACTTTTTTACATAAATAGTACAAGTTTATTTTATTATCTATTGGATAACAGCGTCAGTATCTTTCCCACAGCAGTGAAGGACAAATTGACATTTATCGCGTTATTGTTAGTGTCTTATTTGACCATATCAGTTTCACGGTTGTTATGAGTGCTTTGCTAGGACTCTATCATCATATGATTTGTTTAATGACATGACTTTCAGAGAGCTTCTGTTTGCATGCTATAACAGCCTCTTTTGTTTTTAAAAGTGCATGCCTGGATAGCTGTTATACAACCGCACCCATTCACCACCACCCCTCCTGTAACACTCCCCATCCCTTCGTCTCTTTCTCTTTTCCATACCCTTTGTTCCAGGGGACAACTCTCATCAGGCACACCAGGTGACTGGGAGTTCTTCCTAGTCCTGAAATGGAAATTGTTTTGGCATGCCACACATAACTGACAGTTCCTTGCAAAGATCAGTTTAGTCTAAAAGTATTACTGCTTTTGGAGTGCATAATGTATTGTCACAATTTCAGTTATCAACCAAAATTAGATATCTTTTTTTTAAAATATTGATATTTGATATTGGTATCGATATCGAATGTTTAAAGGTATAGTTTACCCAAAAATTATAATTGTCATCAATTACTTACCCTCAGGTTTGACTTTGAATCACAAATTAAGATGAGAGGTTTCTGTCCCTCCATAAAAAGTCCAGGTAACCAAAACTTAAAAGATGCAGAAAGGTTATAAAGGCCTCATAAAACGAATCCATATGAATCGATCGGTTTAATACAAGTCTTATGAAGAGATACGATCGCTTTATATCATGAGCAGATTTAATTTAGGCTTTTATTCACATAAACATAGATACATACATAGAGCAAATCAAAACTCATTTGTACATCATATGCTAAAACAAACCTCATTGGTTCTTGTCTGTATGTGCCACATGAAAACCAATGAGGTTCGTTCTAGCATGTGGTGCATGCACAAGCTTGCATTTATGATGCATTTATGGCCTTTTTGGATCTTCTACGTTTTGGTTACCTGGTCTTTCCATGGAGGTACATATCTTGTGTTTCAAGATGAACGAAAATCTAACGGGTTTGGAACAACCCCCGAGTAAATGATGACTTGAACTATCACTTAAATGAATGCTCATTTACCTTGTTTCTACTAATAGATTGCCTTTAATCTTTAAAAACACTAACAATTTAATTACACTGTAAAACGTAATCTTTAGCAAATATCAAAATGAATGTTTTTCAAACTGTAAAATTGATGTTGCAATGCCCAACTCACTCTGTAGCATTTAAAGATGATGGATTTTAGGTTTTTTTTTAAATTCTTTTTTTCATTTATTTAGACAAAGTAGTGCATGATTTTAATATTGTGCATTCCTAATTGTCTTGGTAAAAATAAAAATTTTTTGGATTAGTTTGGCAGAGCATTTAAAGTTATGTATTTTAGGGTTGGAGGGCTCATGAGTTCCCCAGCCATTATGAGGACATTACAGCTGTTTGCCACTCCAGTCGTCTTTTGTTCACCATCCCCCTCTCCTCCTTCTGTTGCTACATTCAGACAGGAAAAAAATACTGCATGGAGCCTCTTGGTTAATTTGCTCTCTCTCTGGTGTGTATGTGTGGTACGTGAGAGAGGGTGGGTTTGCAGCGTGCGTTGTGTAGTTTGAGTGACTGCAGAGGGGCGTTTAGTAGCTCTTCCTGACTCAGCACATAGCTTGAGCCGCAGGATATGAGGAGGAGGGGTGAGCTCTTAATACTGTATGCAGCTGAGATCAAGCGGCAGTCATGCTGACTAATGACATAGCCTGCAAAGATTTTCTTTTCTATTTGTGTTGTGTTTGAATGCTTGTAAATCTGATTACTTATCAAGCAATCTGAGATTTGGACCCATTTAAGTCGAGCTTTATGCAAACAGCGCCAGCCATCATGGCTTCATTTCAGACTCAGTCACTGAGACTTCAGTCACTCAAAATGCTAGAAAATACATGGCCCCTCTTTTCATTTTTTGTGTCCAGTGTTGCTTGTTCTCTTCTGGGTTCCCATGGTCAATGGAAAACCTGGAAAAATCAGGAAAAGGCTTGGAAATTTTGAAAATTTATTTATTTATTTTTTAATTGGCTAGGAATTGCGTTTTTAGGTGTTTTAATGTTCTCACTAAATGTCTGTAGTCAAATGTGTGTAAATCAAATTTCAAGTAATAATTCTAATTACTTGTATTTTTTTTATTCTGTTTTAGGTTTTCCCTTTCCATAACAGACCAGAAGGGACCGCGTTGCTTGGAAAACTGTGAATCTTCCATTGCTGATTTAATGTGAAGAGAGTACAAAGTACTCAACTTGAACACCAATACAAAGTTTGCCACAAATAGATTTTCATCTGACCGTTCCCTTTTTTCGTTTACAGTAGTAATTTACATGAATCATTCAGCAAGCCCAGAAGTGTTCAGGCTAACTCAATCAGCAGTTACATCACTAACAGTGAAGTAAAGCTAAAAACAATGTTATGATGCAGTGAGTACAATCAAGCTAAAACAAGCAAGCTCTTTATTAGTCTTACTGAGGGACTTTCAAATTCTGTTTATGGAGCCTCCCTACTTGTTCATCTTCTCAAAACAATCTTTTGCCATAACAAACAAAGAAAAGTATTTCAGATATTTTATCCGGTTTTATGAGAAGTGAAGCTTTTGCAAGTACAAACATTGTTTGCAGAACAAAGACAGACACACAAGATACTTGACTACATTTTGAGTTCAAGCATTTTTACATATATGCTCATCACATGTCACAAATCATGTCATTACCATAGTCTACTTTTGGGTCTTACTTGAGTTAAACATAAAACTCCTCAGAACTTTTTCATCTTTATCTTTCCTGTCACAACACAATAACTGAAATTTCAAGACCAACTTTTAGAACTTGGTTTTCATTTGTCATGAAAATGCTCATGATCTTAAGCCTAAAACCAATATTGAGATATTTTTTCTCCTTGAATGCAGATTTATCCTGGTGCCTTGAAGTCTAGTGATATAAGTGTGTTCTGTTACTTTTTATGTTCAATTATGTTTTCAATTTGTCAGCTACCGGTAATTCTTTTCATTTTTAATGGGAACATTCATTGTGATTCTTTTAAATCCACTTTTGTTTTCCCCCTAATTTAAATGATTGTATCCTTTATGAAGGTCAGTTAATCCTGGAGAGAGTTGGTAAATGTTTTTGAATTTGCTTTTTTGTCCTCTTAATTAGGGCTCTTTTCAGTTTGAATGTTTCAGAGAGCATAAACAGAGAATTTTGTCATAGCAGTCATTCAAACCATAGTATTAGACTGCACTTGCACTGAGAAGAGTGGACCGAGTTTAATTAGAAGCTCACTTCCTGTTCTATCATCTCTTTTACTCGAATTCTGTGTTTTTCTTTGTATTCCTTGTTGTCCAACTTTGACCATACAGCGTACTCTATGCAACCTCTCCTTTTCTGACACTGTATGATGCTGCTCTGCTAAACGAGCTTCTTCAGACCTTTACATTTTTGTGCTCATTTTATGACTTTTTGTGGAGCATTTTGTGTGCAAATATTGAATTTTTTTGAACGGACTTTACTTTGTGTAAAGCACACTAGAGCTTTTGGATGCTTCACTCATTTGGGTGTCATCCTTCATTGTTTTGATGTTGATTTTGTTCAATAAACCATGCAAAAGCATAAACTACATGTGTTTTTAATGTTTGTTACACTGAACAAATATTGTTATAGAAAACAATTTTCACTCAGAAATTGCTTGTAAATTTCACAAATCATTACAAAAGTAAGAATGAAGCTAGTATTTCCTTGTAACACATACCTGTTCTTTGTTTTATTTACAGATTCAAACATATGTTTTACATTATAAGAATGAGAGGATCATTTACAAACTGCTTTCAAGTTTTTCCAGGATATTTACATTTGAAAAAGTTTTAAAGATGCAGTGTTGCAATTGCAAAAATAATGCCATCCTGTCTAACATTGTTAGGTCAAACAGCTATAAATTATACTCATTAAATGGAAATGTATTTGTTGTTGAAGCATTCCAGTAATACTAGATGTGTTTGTTTAAGCCTGGTCATAACATTCAGTCTTGACAGACAAAACATAAATCCTGATGTAATTCTTCAGTCCACAGTCATGGTGCTGTGACCAGACTTTAGTTTGATTACCACAGTCCACCTACTAAATACTTGTTTGATTTTTGTCGTCTGATACCACAAACAGCCACATTACACTAATCAGTTCAGACAAGATAAATCCCTCTTAAAACAAAACGATCACCCTCCATAGACTGCTGTTTTCCATTGTATTAGGCAGTCTTGCATGAGAGGACATTTTGTTCACACCAGCACCCAAACACCTGCCTGGCTGTATAGCCTGACAACATCAGTTCTGCCGATTTTGGGTCTACCCTAGTGTCAAATCTCACAATAAAGCCATTTCATTATCATGAAAAATGTTAAGTGTCAGCTGCACCAGAGGAGGAAATCATGTCTAATTGCTTCATATTTAAGCTTGGAATAAGGTGACAGACAGAAAGAGTCTTGAAGCGCATGAGGAGACATGGGGGATGGGAATGTGCAGCCTCTTGTGTACTGGGGGAGGGTCTTCTGTTTGTACGTTAGTAGGATAGAATTGTATGACAGGGGCGTCTTTGTACTCACCCCGAGGATGGAGGGCAAATAGCTCAGGTCATTACATAACCGAACATGCGTGTCTTAGAATAATACTTTGCTGGTTGCTCCACAACTAAACACCCTAATAAGTGTTTAAATAATAAATATGGCATGTAAATGTCACTCTGTGTAAATATGCTTCTTGTCTTATATACAGTATCTTAATGAATGTCAAATTATATAGGAGCGTTACAATGCACATGGATGGAACAATCTGTGTCTTCTTTTACCATCTTTAATATATTCAATTGATTTTAATAGTGGTATTGGTATAGTTTTGGTAGTTATACTATTGTTAGGTGTGGTAAATCATATCATCAGTGTCCATAACTAATGCACTAATCACTCTACTATAACTATATTGTTTTGCTTATGGGTCATGTGCTCTATTTAAATGGCTCATGTCCATCTGCAAATGACAGTTAAGTGATTAAATGGAGGTGTGGTAAATAAAGAAAAAAACTTTTGGCCTACTTATGTCTCATGTAATATACTGATGCCTGTTTTTTGTCATATCAAACCATCAAACTTGCTAATATACTCTATATTTTTGACAATACAATTATGTTGAGTAATTATACAAATTAAGTGAATTAATATATAAGGTAAGGTATAGATAAGGCCTACATCAGGTTAGTTTAACACATGACCAAGACCATAAAATACAGACATATAATATAATGTAATGCAATATAATGTAAAGGGCTTAATATGGTTGGATTAACCAGTATCTGTATATACTTTGCACAGAGGTTAACATGGAGACCATTAAACATTACTAAACTTCGACTGCTCAGTTAAGGGTTCTACTATTCCAGGTTTTTAGGCATCATTTCAGGGACTGTAGAATATTAGTTTCTTAAATAGTTTTGATCTACATAGTTTTAGTGGTCACACTGGTATGAGCTTTTCTGGAAGCTTGCAGTAGAATGCAGCATCATGAGTGATGCCTCACTGGATTTAGGTCACTCTAAATGGAGCATAAGTGCGTCAGCTGCTTTTCGTTTAACTCTTGAAAGATAGGTAACATGTCAGCAGAACGCAGGAGCTAATTTATTATCAAAACAGTTATTACTCCTGGCAGGCCTACTTACTAACTTAAGATGTCTAAATAACAACATTGAATATTTTCTCTCTGATGTAGGTTTCAGGCAGAGAATGATCTGTGTCTGCTATTTATGAGAGCTTAAGCCTCAAGGAAACATAAAGGAGAGAAACCAGCTGTGCCAAGTGAAATATCTGATACACCGCCCTGACTCATCATTCTCTCTGTCTCACATCTTGAATGCTTCTAAGTAAAAGGAACAGATCATCTAATTAGCAAGTGGGAAATTACAGTTGATGGGCACTGTACTGTTGAATCAAATGTTAAATACAACCAAACATGCAGCCAGTGAATAATTAAAGAGAGAGTACACGAGATTTAATAACGAGATTTAATAACTAGATAAAAGTGTGTGATTTGTCAATTAAATGATTAATAAATTATGTAAATCCAAAAAAATCATACTGCTTTTACGTCACAGTAAATGAACATCATTCAATTAAAGATGACCGTCACTGCCATCTTGTGGTGGCTTAGCAGTACTTAATGCTGTATTTGTTTAAGTCCAGTGTTTTTAAGAGCCCCAGTAACAGTAAATATAGGGTAAAGTGCAGGGTAAAGACTTACAGAGCTGCTATGCTGTACCATATTCATTTAAGAATGTAAGCCCTGAGCAGTTTAAATAAGTGATGGGGAGCTGACTATGCTTAAGGCTTATATAATGCTGCTTATGTAATTGTGAGACCCATAATGCCCAGCCACAATTAATAGCCACTCTCAAACAAATAAATATTTATTTGTACTGATATGGTACAATTGGAGTCTATGTTTAATATTGAGTTGATGGAGTTTGTTTCTATCTGGCTATTTTAACACAATGATTGATGTAAAAAAAATAATAATAGGCTAACTAGATCCAACGCATTGTAATGCAGTGAAAGGGAATGTAATTTAATGTGACACCAAATGATTTACAACGCAAATACATTGTTTGTTCCACACCTTTGCCATAACAGTACAAATATTGTTGTCTGGGGATATAGTGTAAACAGTATGATGTTTCAGCGCAGTGAAACAGAGAACGAGAGAGTTCCTTAGCCTGCAAATGACAGCTGAAATTCTATCTACTTCTTGTAGATTACAACAAATAGTTTAATGTGGATCTCATCTCAGCGTTGGCTTGTTATTTGTATATGGAGTGGTAATTATGGGATTTGGCATATGGGATTTGTAATGCAACAGAGTAGTGTTCGTATCTCGTACAACAAAAAAAGACGAGAACTTGAAAGAAAGAATATTAATCAAAAATACCGTGTTTTTTAATATATATATATATATATTGTTAACATGTTTAATTATTTATTTTAAATATTTTAAACTGCGTACTAACATACTACACTAACTGCTATAAATGTATATGGTAGAAATAGTAATAGTAGTATTCTAGTATGCTATTCCGAATTCTATTTTACACTCACGTACACTCTAGAAACTATATAGTCAATTAATATGGAGTTTTATATTGTTGTATCAAATTTTCGAGCGGGTGTGATAACATTAAAAGTATCTAAGTGTCCAGCACTCATATGACCACTCTGAGTGCAGGCAGAGGTTTTTAGTTTGACATGAATTTATCCAAATGTAGCCGTCACTTTTATTAGGAAACACTGATGACTAGTTGACTTCTTGATGATGCAGTCGCACATCGATGACAATTAACCAAACACGTTTGAGCAAACGGTGGAATATTATGTTGCACAATCTGTTAGTGTAACTGTTACCGCCGTGTCGTGGGGCCCCATAATCTTCAGTCTTTAAAACTAGTACGCAGCGTCTAGTGTAGCTACCAGAATCAATTTGTTCAAGGGCAAACTAACTGCATCACGGTTTTACACCCACTCGCTCTGCTCTGCTCACTCCGCCCAGGAACCGTAAGTTTATAGAAGGAAGCGCTGAGACATCAGAGAGAAGGATCGCTTGTGTGACAGCTGATCAGAAGTGAACATGGCAGAGGGAAAACTAGGTGCCAACATTGGGGGCAACATTGGCGCGGGAGCAGGCATCCTGGCCAAACGCTTTCAGAAATCAATGAACCGAGCACAAGAGAAGGTAGGTGGGGGTTTTTTTGAGTTCAGGACCTTGGCTCTCATGTCATGCTGCTCTGAATGTGTATTTTGTGTGTGAGTATCCAACACATTTGCTTCAAAATGTTTAGAGCCCTTTAGAAAACTGGTACAAATGTTCACAAGATAGGTCAATATTGTGAGTTGTAGAGCTGTCTCGAATGCACTGGTGTGAACACAAAGATTGCCACTTCCTGCCCTCATTCACTTCCTCCCTAGGCTCACCTCCTCTTCTAGATTTTACTGTTTAGTAGACTGCACACTTTAGTAGTGTTTCCTAACTTAAAATCACTCTTTTTTTATGTGGGATGTTTTATGTTTGCTAAATACTTCCCTTGGGCATTTCTGACCTTTCCTGAGCACAAGGAACACTTGCTGCAACTGATATTTCAAGAATAAATGTGTAACCGCTTGGCGAGTCATATTTCAGTGGCCATACAGTGACAACTCTTGTTCCTCTGCCTGATATCATGTTTGATTGTTCATTTGAAATGATTGACCAGTAGGGAGTCTTCTCAGTGTGATGGTGTTGGTTGTAGGTCCTGCAGAAGCTGGGGAAAACCATGGAGACAAAAGATGAGCAGTTTGAGGAGTGCTCTGCCAACTTGAACAAACAGCAGGTACTTCAACAGTATATGTCTGAGAGAAAGACAAACATGCACCCATCCTAGATTTTGTTACCGTAAGCAAGTCACAGACTATTAAAGGGGTCATATGATGCTTTTTTAAAGATCATTATTTTGTATATTTGGTGTAACAGAATATGTTGACATGCTTTAATGTTCAAAAAACACATTATTTTTCAAATACTGTACATTATTGTAGGTCCTCTATGCCCCGCCTCTCTCAAACGCTTCGTTTTCTACAAAGTCCCGCCTTCCGACAAGCGCAGTCGGTTAAGACAGCTGACTCTGTGATGTGACCCTCTCTCTCTCTCTCTAGCGCTCTCTCTGTCTCTCTCGCTCGCTCTCTCTCGCTCACACACACACACTATGCGCAAAACTCTGCATTTGAACAGTCAATAGCAAATACTTAAACTAATAACAAAACAGTAGCTGATTCAGAAGTGCCAGATTGTCATAGCAAAGTCAGAATTACCTCCTCTCCTAGGTTCACGAAACGGTCGTCCATAAAATGCATTGCTGTTCTGTTGTAAGTAATCTTAATGCATCTACTTTCGGAAGGCCAAGTAAAGTGCTTTTGCTTTCGCCTAGAAACACACAGCGTCTCCTTGACATGGCTGCTTCAACACTAACTGCGGTTACTGAAACCATGCTTTCTTTCTTTGCGTGCACATTTGGGCTGCATTATTCTAATATTTCCACATAGTGAGGTAGATATGTGGGGCGTGTTAGAACGAGCCGTTTTAGGGGGGCGTGGCAGAGTCTTAACTTTGATAAAGAATATCTCTTTGGTTTTGAGACTTTAGTCTTTGCAACTTCAGGGATCTTATCTATGCACAATCAGCTTGTAACACTCCAAAGAGAAAGGAAAACTTGAAATCGCATCATATGACCCCTTTAAGTGAGGTCATTTAACGGGACTGCATTGGGTGAATTGTCTTATATGAACATTGACAGAATCATCTTTGAAAGTAGCACAGGAAACTCCACCTTTAGAAAATGTTAATGTTACTGCTGCTGTGTACAGTACAGTAGCAGAGGCTGACCTTTTCTGGCTCTTTTCTGATACTGTTTATACTCTCAACCAGCCCCAGGAAGCCCTTTTAAAATGCTATTTTGGATTGGTACCACATTTCATTATTAACACTAACAAACTTTATCATATTAGTCTAGTGTTGACCTAGTTTCTCACTTGGCAACATTACATCCTATTCCATGTCCTGGATGCGTTGCTCCACTGAGAATATATTGTATTTGTTTAATGATGTTAGATGGGTTTACGCTCTATAGATGCAATCAAATCAACTTAATCATTTAAGAGCTTTCTTTTTTAACCATAAATAAAAACTTTTTGAAATATGTGACCCTGGACCACAAAACCAGTCATAAGGGTCAATTTTTTGAAATTGAGATTTATACATAATAAATAAGCTTTCCATTGATGTATGGTTTGATAGGATAGGACAATATTTGGCCGAGATGCAACTATTTGAAAATCTGGAATCTGAGGGTGCAAAAAAATAAAAAATACTGAGAAAATCGCCTTTAAAGTTGTCCAAATGAAGTTCTTAGCAATGCATATTACTAATCAAAAATTAGGTTTTGATATATTTATGGTAGGAAATTTACAAAATATCTTCATGGAACATGATCTTTACTTAATATCCTAATGATTTTTGGCATAAAAGAAAAATCGATAATTTTGACCAATAAAATGTTTTTTTGGCTATTGCTAAAAAATATACCCAAGCGACAAGACTGGTTTTGTGGTCCAGGGTCACATATATAGAATATTTTTTAGATTTTTAAAGAACCATTTACAACAGCTTTAATGACCCTCAATAGTAAAATCCATGGCATGATGGCATCTGAAAGTACATAAAATGTAAAGCAAGTAATTTCCACACCACCTATACATTTTCTATTGATCCTATTGAAAAATTTCCACTTCCCAAAAGATGCCTATTAAAGGTCTTTAATGCATATTTAAAAATTCACTTGACAATAAAGGTATAAAAATTTATATATAAAATAATAAGACATAAACCTTTTGCCTTTAGACAACAAGTGATTTCTTTTCTCTTCCCAGGCAGATGGCATCCGACTCTATAAGGATGTTAAAGCTTACCACAATGCTGTTAAAGGTAGTTCACTCTTAATTGATCAAGTACAGCCATTTATTTTAATAAATATGTTGAAATGTATTTTTAAATTGACATTTACTCATTGAATTTTGTTTTGAATCTTGATACTTGTTTTAAAAAAGATTCAGATTCAGTGAATAGCACAGTTTATAGCTGCTTGCTAATTGTGCTCAGATATCATTGTGGTTGGCCTGTTGGCTGCAGGGTGAGAGTAAAAGTGAAATGGTGTCTTGTTCTGAGCATGAGAAGATGAATTGACAAAAATAGTTTTGGTTGTGTTTTTCTGATTCAGCATTTGGGGAAGTGAATGTCTCTTATTAATGGAACTGAAAATGCTTATTGTGTAAATGTCTACAAGAATAGTTGACGCTCCTGCTTGAATTGTGGGCGCACTGCCCAGATGTCAGTTTGCAGAGGTTTATGCAAATATGAAGGAGAGACTAAGATTGAGGAAGACTCAAGAAGTTTGTGGTCTTGTTGCTCAAACCACACGCATAGTTTTGAACACCCCCAGGTGTTCTAAATGAATGAATTGGTTGTCAGCATCTAAAATCAGTGCTACATCTCTGAATTTTGCTATCTAAAAAGTTTAAAAGGAACTACTAGAGAAGTTCATTTATTATTCATCCTTATACTAAACCATGGAATAAGCATTAAGTGTTTCTGGAGGTGTAGAGTAGTGCTGGGTGGTATGACCAAAAATTTATATCACGGTATTAGAAAAGGGACTTCTTTCAAACAGTGCCGCGTTCCGAACGTTGTTTAAGCGACGTACACCGGTATTGCGGTATTTTAAAAATTCATATAACAAAAATAAACACCAGTATTCGGTATGAACCGGTATACCGCCCAGCACTAGTGTAGAGTATCTTTCTGTATCTAAACTGGAAGAGCATGGCACTAGTAATGTTAAAGATTGGATTCTCAGAGAATGTGTATAAGGATAAAATTTGGACTATTCATTGAATAGAGTTATTAATCTAATGAATTTCCTTGAAATAGTGTATGCTTTTTAGTGCTTGATGACTACTATAAAATACTGTTGATACTCTTGGGTTGATTTCATAATTTCTTGCTAATACAGTCACATCTCTGTAACTGTAATGACTTGTCAGGGGTAGATGCAGATTTTTAGGACTACAGCCAGATTGAGTAACAATTTATAAAGAAGTTGTCAGATGATGTTTTGTACACTCCTTGTTTCTCAGTGATGCATGAATCATCAAAGCGCCTGTCCCAGACTCTTAAAGATATCTATGAACCAGACTGGCATGGTGTAGAAGATCTGACTGTCATAATGGAGGTAAACCAGGCCTCTTTTTTGTGACATTTAATAGTAAAAATCTCTGCCCTCCTTGTCTTCACCATCTCTCTGGCTTAATGTTACAGAGTGAGGATCTCCTGTGGAATGACTACGAGGAAAAGCTGAGCGATCAAGCTGTTCGAACAATGGAGAATTATACCGGACAGTTCAATGATGTCAAAGTTTGTGCAGTTGCTTAATTACAGACCCGAATAAGCTATAATGATTGCAATTATTTATTCACTATCTGTAGTCTAGGTCTGTTCAGTCTATTTTTGCAAGGTTGTCAGGGTTAGTATTTAATGACGGTTTTAACGTTGACAAGTTTTCTCATGACTTTTGATACTGAAAATACTTAATAGTTATATTATATATTCATTAGTTACAGGTTTAGCTTACAGTGATGGCATCTTGGTATCATGGTGTTGAATTAATAGCAAATTCACATGGTGTTTACATGGTACTTGAAATTCAATTCTTAAAAAGTTACTGTAGCTTTAAATTTTTTTCTAATATTGTGATCTTGCAGGAAAGAGTGGCTAAACGAGGAAGGAAGCTGGTTGACTACGATTCAGCTCGACATCATCTGGAGGCGCTACAGAACTCCAAGAAGAGAGATGAGGCCAAAATATCAAAGGTCAGCCAACATTTGATCATTTAAATATCCCATTTTAGAAATGGTTTATGGTTAGAGCTCAACTAAATTGTATGACCATTGATGCTGATTCTTTTCAGGCCGAGGAGGAGTTCAATAAAACGCAGGAGGTATTTGAAGACATTAACAGTGAGTTGAGAGAGGAGCTGCCTGTTCTTTATCAAAGGTTAGTACAGCTTTATTAACAAAAATGAAATAAAAGAGATAAATGCGTTCAGACAACTCCTTCCTGTCACTGAAGTCTCCAACAACAACAAAAAAAAATAATACTGGTGGTACTAATAATAATGTAACTTAATTTGGCTACACTTTCTTCCTGCTTTCAGCCGTATAAGCTGCTATGTCACCATGTTCCAGAACATCTCAAACCTACGGGATGTCTTCTACAAGGAAATGAGTATGGTATGAATGTATCATTTGTGAATTATTTTACTGTGATGCTCTTTCTTTTACATTACAACGGCAAACAATAAGCTTAGAGTACTTCTTGGATGGACATTCTCAAAAACTATACCTCAGTGTGACTCACAAGATTGCTTTTTAGGTATCACCGTTTAATGTTTAATGAGTACATTGTTGCCGATTGACAATTTCATGTTTCAGTTGAATCATAACATTTATAATATGATGAAGAAGCTTGAGGATCAGCACTCCACCAAACCCTTCATCATCAAAGGTCTTGACAGGTAATGTATTTGCAAATACTTAATTTCTATAAAGATCTACAGTGGCCCCAAAGTTTAGACTATTGAGCCCTACTTAAAATTAATAAATGGCATTGCATAAAAGAAGAAAATTATTTTTAAAAGGCTAGCAAAAGCACTTTTCCAGAAACATATTTAACAAAAATATTTGTGAGTAAAGTATTTGTACACTTTGTGGTTCCCAGCTTAATGGAACATGATGAACATCATCTATGCTATACTTTTTGTGACTATTGTATATTGCATGTCCTTAAAAGCAGGAAGATATTATACCAATTAAAGGCAAATCTAAGAATGTTCATGGTTTGTATCGTCTTTTTATGTGCCTTTTTTATTCCTCTTGTGTCTAGCACTAAATCAAAGAAGAGAAAGTCTGTTACGATCTCTGCACCCATCCCCTGTAACACCGCCTTCCCTCCTGATCATCCGGCCATGAGCAAGCTCAGCATGCCCAGCACCCTCACGCACACGGACACACGCTCAGACACTCCCTCAAAGAGCACAGGAAGCACAGCGTCTGAAATATCAGACTCGGAGTCAAACTCTTTTGACAGTGAACCCAACACACCCAAGCGGCAGTCTTTGTGTTCTGAGGGTGAAGGGGTTCGGTCTGAGGGAGCCACTGAAAACACATCAGAAACTACCAATGATGAGTCTCTGCAAGCGAACGGCCAGGAACATCAAGATTCAGTGTCCACTGAGCACGGAGAAGAGGAGGAAACTAAATCAGCAGCATCATCAGAAGAAACCCACCATACATCTACAGATGGAGACAATGAGGGAAAGCCCTTATCAGACACCACAGACAAAACTGCACCTGTTCCAACCCCTCGAAGATCCAGCACCTCCAAGAAAAATGAAGGAGAGACTGATCAAAATACCACGGGATGCAGCGAAGATGTGAAAGTCCAAACGACGGAGTATGAAAATCCTCCTGGCTTCCTCTATAAGGTACAGTGTCTTTGGAAATGTTGAGACCGTCATTGATTTGTATTTGTGTAGGTAATCATTTGTATTTGTTTTGATTTTGTTTTCAGGCTGTTGCTCTGCAGAGTCAGGACTCAGATGAAGGTGTGCTTCTGCAGTTTGAAAAGGGAGATAGGATCCTTATATACATCGACGAAGAAGAAGAAAAGGTGAGTTATGTATAGAGTTTACATAAGGTTGTATGGCATAGCTGTCTAAGGGTTTTCCTAACTTAAGGAGTTTCTTGCAGCTGGGAACAGGGCTTGAAATCAGAAGGTTGGTGGTTCTATCACCATTATGTAAACCACTGTAAGTTTTTTTTTTTTTGAAAGAAATTAATATTTTTGTTCAGCATGGATGGATTGTTCAAAAGTGGCAGTAAAGAAATTTAATAATGTTCCAGATTATTTTATTTCAAATAAATACTGATCTTTTGGACCTTTTATTCATCAAAGAATCCTGAATAAAATGTATCACAGTTTCCCCAAAGATATTAAGCAGTACAACTTTTTTTTACGTGGATAATAATAAGAAATGTTTCTTGAGCAACAAATCAGCGTATTAGAATGATTTCTGAAGGATCGTGTGAAACTGTAGACTGGAGTAATGGCTGCTGAAAATTCAGCTTTGCATCACAGGGATTAAATTACATTTTCAAATATATTCTTATAAATCAATGCTTATAAATTATAGTAATGTTGCACACTAATACTGCTTCACTGTATTTTTGATCAAATAAATGCAGCCTTAGCATAAGAGAGTTTTTCAAACATAAGCTCTTACTGACGCCAAACTTTTGAATGGTAGTGTATATGTATGTATCCTGTCTGAGTGTCCTTGTGACTGGATGTTGTCATATGCACTCTCTGTCTGCCCTTTTCTCTAGACATGAAAGACACTCTGACTTTTTTTAGTATACAGTGTCTTTACAACTTCCTGATGCAGCCTCAAGACTCCTGACAGCTGCACAGTCTTAGTTCTGTTTTCAGATTTTCTGTCATTCTGACTTTTATAGATCTTAATATTGATCACTAGATTTATACATTGTTCATAGTTCTGCAGTTGTGTCTTCACTTTCATTCGCATGAATGTAGCCACATATTGTGTATCAAAAAATAGTGTTTATTATGCAAACATATTTCAAAAACATTTTCTAAGCAATGAGTATTAAAACACTTTTTAGTGTGGCTGTTCCAATGGTCTCTTTTCTATGTGTGTCAACCAATGTTGATGTCTATGTTTCTCACATATCTCAGTGTTAAAGATTGACTACCAAGGTTTTCACAATGTTTACAGGACCCAAAAAAGTGTTGAGTATTACTGTGAAACCGTTTTTTAAATGTACAGAGAAAATCTATTATTGTTTTTCTACAATAAAGTTGACAGCTGAAAAAAAAAAACGTTCTATTTTGATTTGTTAATGTATGTCCAGTGCTCAAAGTGGAAAAATGCAAGTTTTTTCTTTTTTGGCATGAACTCAGTATTACTTGATTTTCTTTATTAAAAATAAAATACAATAGGCAATGCTATTATTACATAAGTAGCAGTCAAACTAAAATTTACTGGCTGTGTTAGTACTGATACTATACCACCATAAACAATTAGAATGAGAAACCGTGTATGACAGTACCAAATTTCCATAGTTGTATCGTAGTATCATAGCTTAAGAAACTATGGTATTTCTTTTTTTTTGTTTTTTTTTTGTTAAGGCTGGGACTACAAGAAGTGAATAGGTGTATTAAATTTACTGACAAAACGCGCTATACACATCCGTTTTGTAGGAGCTAAAGTTATTGTTTAAAGTTTTGGTGACATCTAGTGGACATAGTAGAATCACATGATTCTACTATGTCCACTAGAATAAATATAAACTGACATAAACCTGAAGCTTCTTTTAAAAATACTGCTTTTTCCACCACTAGCTCTATTTCTAAGTCCCACATATTATAAATTATATTAATACCACTACTACTTTTAGTTTTAACACTACTGCATTTACTGTCACTGATACAACTACGACTAATAAAGAAAATAGACTTAGATAATATACATTTAATCTTACATTAACTTACTGTTTCTCACATTACCTAATTTGGAATTATTCTAATCTTAACTATTTTAATGCAAGCTTCGCTTAATGTTACACATAATTTTTGGAACATTTTAGTTCGCATATTGGTTTTCACATTCAAGCCTCCCATCAATCTGTCGTAAAAGACGTGTCATTTTCATCCATACCCTTAGGGGTCGCTGTTAAACGGACGCATAATTTCACTTTCGCTCTTATGCTTTAGCTCGGCGAAGAGCAACAATAACACACGGCGGGTTATGGAGCAGTAAATGACAGTAAATGCGTATTGATCGTTTGAGGCGGTCTTACTTTCCTTCAGAAAAAACCCGGTGAATGACATTCCATCAGCGCTGTCTCCAGGTCAAAAGAGCGGATGCTCCATAACAACTATTTTTGGTATCTGGATAATTCTTTGTTGTTTTTTTTATTTCTAAATAATATTTTCCTTATTTATTCAGGTGTGGATTTGACAGCAAGAATGGCGATCAATAAGACTTATATAAGCGTGGGCTACTCGTGTGTTGGGATGCTGGTGGGATTTTCGGCGTTTCTAGTGTGGAACATCGCTTACAAACAGCCGTGGACAGCCGCGATGGGTGGATTATCAGGTAACTAACATTCTTTGGCAGTGTTTCAAATGCAGGTGAGCTGTCTACCTAGACAGCATTTTTGGACATCACTGACTTGGAACGCGCCTGTGTTGCCTACATGTTTTCTAGGTTTTACGACACGAAGAAAAACATAATTTTGTGATGTTTTGAAATGGATTTAAAGTAATTATTGCTGCTAATTTTCCTTTTTTGTGCCTTTCATCCTGTAGCAAGTTGGGGCACTTAAACTAACATTTCAGTATTCTTTCAAGTTCTGAGATGGGGAACTTTACAAACAACTCAGTTGACATGTTTATTACGGCATAATACATAGATAATGATATTAATTTTTTAAGGGAACTATTGCTTTTTTTTTTATTTAATTGTCAAATGTTCTGCACAAGAAATTTTATATTTTAATCTATAAAAATCTTTCTTTTTATAGATTAAAATTGTATCAGTTTTAGTGCAAGTGATAAAAGCTGTGTCCACTGTAAGTCAATTATCGACATGTTTGTTGGATGATGTGTTAATAAATGCAGGTTTAATACACAAAATATTTAACCTGCATTTTAGTGAGTAATCAACAAGTTGTTTCATATGTAATTTTCCTGGAGTAGCTTACACATTTTTATTGTTAGTCCAGAAGTAGTTATCAAACATTGTGTGTAATATGGACAATGTGGTTTAAAATGTTACTGACCAAACCTTTTCCCTTATTTAATAACAGTAACACATTTTATAATGAAAAATCTACCCAAAATTTTTAGATGAAAAAGGACGGGAACACTAAATACTGAAATACATAACATACACTACCATTAAAAAGTTTGGAGCCAGTAAGATTTTTACTTTTACTCAGAAGGAATGCATTAAATTGATCAAAAGTGACAGTAAATATTTTTACATTGTTACAAAAAAAAAAAAAAAATTAGCATATCAGCATATTAGAATGATTTCTGAAGGTATCATCTGGAATAATGGCTGCCAAAAATTGAGCTTTGCCATCATAGCAATAAATTACATTTTAAAATACATTACAATAAAAAATAGTTATTTAAAATTTTAATAATATTTGACAATATTGCAGTGTTTATGATCAAATAAATGCTGTCTTGGTTAGCATAAGGGAATGTTTTTCTTATGGACCCCAAACATTTGAAAGGTATTTCACACAAATCCTTCCATAGATACCCATTCCATATGTTCAGCGAGTTGTGTAGAAACACCCAGAAGTTTGTCTGACAACTTAATTGTTTCCATATCTAAATCATATTTGTCCAATATAATGGTGATTGGGATGCAAAGGGTATGACTACTTTACCTTAACAAATACAAGCAAAAGCTTTGAGATTTTGGCCTCACTAAATGTCCGTTCTTCAGTGCACTTTGACCCCTCGCTGTGACCTTCAAACAGCCTTTGAGTTTGTGTTGTGCAAGACAGAGCAATATAGTTTTGCAGAGTCTGTGCTGTACTTTGAGTATTACACTTTGGTCAGGCTAGTCTCAGCTGCAAATGAATGGCATGATTTAGCAGAATTTTGGTCTATTCAGTTTTTGGACGGCTGACCAATCATATGTCCATTAAGTATTTCAGCACATTTTAGGTTAAAAAATTATAAAGGAAATTATATTTCAGATGCTGTAACTGCTCCCTGCTTTAAATCACCATTTTTGCAGTTCACTTAAATGGTCCTGCAGTATGTGCAAACACTCCTCTATGTGTGAGGGCACAAAAACAGCATGGATGATAATAATTATACAATAATTATAAAGCATGTCACACTGCCGGAAATTTCACATGAGCTAACCTATTATTTATAGTATTAGTATTAGTAAACACCCTACCCATATACACCGCTGGGTTTAAAATGGAAATATGGTGGTGTTGGTCAGGGAGATTCTATTTTGTTGTGTAATATCACAAAATGCTCTTCTGCTAATCTAACAGCACATGCAGAACTGAGAGAAAATAGCGCTGTCAAAAGAATCAAACAGCAACACAGCAGTTTACATGCATGGGGAGAATGACATAGCAATAATGAATGCAGAGTCATGGATTCAGTCATGCATGCAAAACCAGAACACACACACACACATATATATATATATGTATATATAAATAGTTGTTTGAAATTGACTAGCAATTGCTGATTGAAAATAGTCAGTTAAATGTGTTTTGAACTTTATATTGCTCATTGTGTTTATGTATTTCTTCAGGAGTTTTGGCACTATGGGCTCTGGTCACACACATAATGTACCTTCAGGACTACTGGAGAACATGGTTAAAGGGACTGAAGTTTTTCCTGGTTATGGGTGTAATTTTCTCTGTGTTGTCCATCGTGGCGTTCATCTCTTTCATCTGTGTTGCCGTCTCCCGCAAAGAATGTGAGTAGAGATCCGTTCTGAAGCTCATGAAACTCATGAATGCTTGAAATTAAATTGTATTTATAACATTTAGGTCATTAAACTCAGTTGTTTGAACTTCAAAAACTGTTTTGCTTTCTCCTCGTGTGTGTGTGTGTGTGTGTCTACAGCCCTCACAGATCCCACCAGTCTGTACCTGTCGTGTGTGTGGAGCTTCATGAGTTTAAAGTGGGCGTTCCTGCTTTCCCTCTATTCTCATCGATATCGCAAAGAATTTGCCCACATCTCCATCCTCAGTGACTTTTAAATTTACACACAATAACACACTCGTGCCCACAGACAAACAAGCAGCTGTTACCATTTGAAATGGACCAGGAACACTCAATGAGGAGAGCCAGAAAGCTTTAGTCTTTTCAGTATATCAGTAGAAGACGTTAGTGCACCACTTCTCTCTCCTTTCTACTACTTGTCTGTCCAGGCAGTCTATTGTGGATCATGTTAGATTGAAGAGTTTGTTGAAGGATGTCGTCAGTGATTTGAAATTTTGGACTTTTTAATATCTATGATCAAAATCAACAACTTTTTACTTTTCAGTATGTATGGTTTATACTGTGCATTTCTGAATGAGGTATTAAAGGGGTCATATGATGCGATTTCATTTTTTCCTTTCTCTTTAGAGTGTTACAAGCTCTTGGTGCATAAAGAAGATCTGTAAAGTTGCAAAGACTAAAGTCTCAAATCCAAAGAGATATTCTTTATAAAAGTTAAGAGTTAGCCACACCTACCTAAAACGGCTCGTTCGAACACGCCCCCACATACCTACCTCACTATGTGGGAAGATTTGCATAAAGCCGCCCAAATGTTCACGCAAAGAAAGAAAGCATAACTTTTATTCTCGCTGTAGTATTGTTGCCGCTGCCGCCATGTCCTGAAGACACTGTGTGCTTCGTTGTGAAAGCGAAACCACTTTGTTTGGTCTTCCAAAAGAGGACGATATCCGCTTCGCCATGCCTAGAGCTGATCTGTGCTGGTCGCTGAGGAAATACATCAACTTAGTGCTGTGGATCACCGGATCAGCCCTCACCGTTTTCACCGCTCCTTCGCCGGGACCGCCATTCTCGACCCCGCCGCCTCAGCTCACTCTTGCCCGGCCTCAGCTCACGGTAAGCCGGGGCTTTCGCTCATGCTAGGCCGCTGTGTTTTTCGTTGTGAAAGCGAAACTACTTTGTTTGATCTTCCAAAAGAGGACGATATCCGCTTCGTCATGCCTAGAGCTGATCTGTGCTGGTCGCTGAGGGAATACATCAACTTAGTGCTGTGGATCGCCGGCACATTTTATGGAGGACTGTTTACTGATCCTGGGAGAGTAACGTTAGACTAAAATGCCAGCAGTTCTGACTCACGTAAGTACGTTTTCATTTAAAGGATTTGCCACTGATGATTCAAACGCGAGTTTTGGGCAGTGTGGAGTAGCACTTGTTGTTTGTCATTTCTCTGATCACAAATGCAGACAGGGTGAAACAATAATGTACAGTATGTGGAAAATAATGTGTTTTTTTTACTTTAAACCGCATAAACACATTTCATTACACCAAATACACAAAATAATGTTCTTTTTAGCAGCATCATATGACCCCTTTAAGAGGAGTCTTTTGTGTTTCTCCTTACTGCTGTTCTCTTGAATGTTTTTCTGCAGTCTCACAATGATATATGGACAAGTGACAGGTTTATGTAACTAAAAGACCGTGTTTTCCTGCTATTGCATAGCATTTAGGTAACTATCTATTGATTTTTAAATAAGCACTTTATTGTCTATAAAATGTGGTATAACCAATCACAAACCCTGTTCCTGTGGGAATCTTGAGGCTTTACTGGCGAGGGATATGTTATGTGGAAATTCTCTTTTTGTTTATACTTTCATGACCCCAAAGCATTAGAAAACAACATCCAGCACACATTTGAAGAATTAAATGATTTTTGTAGCAATTTTTTCCCCCACAAGACAAACATGGTTAGAGATTTTAAGTTTTACCATCACATGTCTGTCACCTGTTATATGGCTGAGTGTTGGTTAGTATAAATTCATTCAGATAATACAGCATGCATTTGTCTTGTTATATTAAGTTGAACTTTTTTATATTTACACAAAAACATTATTATACTGTTAGAATGTGATTTTTGCTTTTGCCTGACATTTGAGGCACTTTTGCGAGCATAGCCATTATTAGCCTCTGTATTATGAAATCAATAACTTTATGTATTTGTAAGTTACCCATTAATAAAATAACCTGACACGACACATGCTTCTTGATTTCAAAACTATTAAAAAGTAAAAATACAGGTTTATTTAATTTTGAGAACATTTGGAAGACAATTAAATGAAATGAAAAAGCTATAAAAAACATCAATGTAAAAAGTGGAATATATGCAAATGCTTATATCATGGTATTTCACAAAATATCTTTAAATGTATTTATAGACCAACTTGGTAATAAAAAGAAAAGAAAATATTCTCAACCTAAGTGACATAGCAAAGCACAAAGTACTTGTACCCTTTTCTTTATGCTTGCTATATAAATAATTGACATACAAGGACAGCTGCCTTACATATTAATTGCAGGAAATCTATCAATATTAACAATGACAAAAACGTAGCTTGAACAATGCAAAATGTCTCAGGATTTTTTCTTTTTAAATTTGTAATGATTGATGAATATAAAGTGCAATTAAAGGGGTCATATGACATTGCTAAAAAGAACATTATTTTGTGTATTTGGTGTAATGCAATGTGTTTATGCGGTTAGAAAACACATTATTTTCCACATACTGTACATTATTGTTTCTCCTCTATGCCCTGCATTTCTGAAACGCGTCGATTTTTACAAAGCTCATCGTTCTTGTCGGCGATTCTTCCTATTGTAAAGTCATGCAGTGTGTAACCTCCTGTCGTCGTTCCATCGTGCAGTGTGAACACAGCAACAACTGAATGCTACCCCAGATAGTCGTTCAGTGTGAAACCAACAGTGATGCGACGTCTTTGAAAATCGTGCAGTGTGAACTCGGCATTACCATACTGTGTCCCGGTGCGACGTGACAAAACCAATAAAACCCATTATAAACGAGGCATTTGTTGCATCCAGTGGGGACATAATTACTGATTATAATGACTTATAGGCCCAATCCCAATTCAAGCCCTTCCCCTTTCCCCTACCCCTCCGTTTCGCACGTTCACGTGAAGGGGTAGGGGTGTCTCAATTCTCTTGGTTGGAGGGGTAGGGCTAAGGGGAAGGGCCAGACAGCCCTTCAAATGAAGATTTTTTGGGCCCACACTTCAAATGAAGGGGTATGAATTATCTCCACGTAAACCGGCTTCAGGGGCAACATGGCTGCCCGAGCGAACAAAAAGACACATAAATGTAAGCATTTTTGGCATTAATAAAGATTTTAACAAAAAGTAATCATTTGTTTTATGTTACATTCAATTGTGAGTTCATATTTATGGTCATGTTACTCAAAGAAATGTTTGAAAAATGGCTAATATTTGCTAACTAACGTCATACTGCACGATAGTGGCACAACATATTTTCATGTCTGATCAGGGCGATAACCACCGTAGACATTGAGGGGGGCTAGTCCCCCCAATAATTAGAAATCGCTAAACCCGTGGTGTCCCAATTCTTAGGGGAATATTTTCACCCCTACCCCTTGACACTCTGTTTCAAGGGACAAGGGGAAGGGGTAGGGGAAGGGGTATAAAATAGAATTGGGATTGGGCCATACTGTCTTTTTACGCGTTGCGTTGCATATCGCGCCCCGTAAACATAAAACCATGTCTGCATTTGTGATCGGAGAAACGACAAA